CGCCGTAATATTTGCATAAGTTTACAAATCGTAAATCTTACGCAATACTTCGCATTAAAAATATTCCTGATGTAGTCCTATCATTTTTGGTTTTGTAGATCTCTCGTGATTAACAGGGAGGTTTAGCCAGAGACACTTCGTATGATGTATTTATACAGGATGATCAGCTAATCAATAGTTTTAAACATATACGTTAAAAAAAATACTGTCTGATATGCAGGGCAATTTAGCCGAAACATAGTTCAGGTCTAATTTAGCTGATACATGTTAATCAAACTGCGCAAATCATATAGATCATATTTGTGTAATGTCTGAGATTGCATTATACATCGGACTATCAGAAATTTTAATTTTATTAAATTTTTGTCGATCATTTTTAACTACTCAAAATTTTTTGGGTGCTGGCATATTCTAGAGGCATATGTTATATATGGTAACTATTTTCATTATCCCACAATATTACCATCGTCCGCACTATTTGATGATTGTTGATTGCCAATAGTGACATCATAAGATGATAGTTAGATAGATGAAGTCGTAATGTTCGTTCTAACATTTCCCAAATTCCTGTATCACCATCTTCGTTACGAGGCATAGATGGAACCTGAGATGAATTATGATATGGAGATTCTGAATGTGTACGACTTCTTCAATTGCTTTGCCTATAAAAAAATAATCATTAGTATTAGTCGCAGAAATTATTAATTATGATAAACCCCTTGTACTTATCTTCTGGTTAGGTTAATTTTATAATGAATTAATAATGACCCATTATTCCTAAATTTCAACTGAAAGGTAAGTTCAATCATCAGATTGGCGAGATCTGTCACAACACAACCCTACAACACTACCATATGCTGGAAGTTTTGAGAAAGGAATATTTGTTATGGCTATGATACGGGAAATATGATGAGGCATACACAGAAAGTATTTTTCTGATAACTACGCATTGTCGGTGATGGTATGTGATCGCGATAAATTTCATTTGTGATGCATGAACTTTTTTTCGAAATGTTAAGATCAAGGCTAAAGGCAAGTCCGATTAGCATACATGATTTCTACACAGAAAAAATCATCGTCAGGTAAATGCGTCTTTGCTTAGGATTTTCTGATTTAACAATATAGAATTGATAATAATTTTGATTAGTTTGATTTCATCTGAATTTTTTTTTCGTTTACTTAAGCAATATGGATAAAAATAAATCGCTAACCAAAACTTATTATTTTGTAGTAAACATCCACAGCATAAAAATGAATTTGGAACTTTTGCGATCATGTTAGGTGATTTCAGCATAATTGCTTCGAATTATGAACCCTGTAAGAAGTAATTAAAAAAGTCATTAATATATAATTGCGGAATGGTAATAATAAAAATCAAAGAATCCACTTATCTTTAATTAACCCCACAACGATTAGTAATGAAAATTAAGATTACCAGGGTCTGAATATTTCAGCTGAAAGGCAAATTCGATTAACAAATTAATGAATTAATACAAACACAACCCCACAAATCCCACCACGTGAAAATATTTCTAAAATAGAATTAATAAATGACATTTTCAAGCCTTTATTTTTTTATTCTTATATGATCAATGCGAAAAAAAACAAATACAGCTAATTTAATCCTATTATTTTCCTTTCTTATACCACTTCTAATTTCATTCAAAAATCACGTAATATTAATAAGCTTCATAATCATATATATAATACAAATCCCAACTATTGCGAAATCTATAATCAAGTAAAGATCATTAGAAACATGAAAGCAAGCGATTATATATACAGGAGGTGAAATAAATATTGAATAATTTTTTTGCGAAGATTTATTACATCAATTTTATATGAAAATTTATTAATTGAAGCTAAATATAGTAATTTATAATGCTTTTCTAATCAAAAATGGATTTGTTTTTATTGATAAATTGATTGTTTATTT